TATTATATTATATATATAATTCCATATATAATGCATTGAACAGGATATTATTTTAGTTACCTTCTCTCCTTTATTCCTTTATAGCTGCTCTGGACACTCAGACATTACTGCTGCTTCAAAAGTAACAAGGATCTGACTTTTTAGAATATTTCTTTTGGGTTTGTTTTGGCATATTGCTAAAAAATGTCCCAGGGAAACCAGCTAGCAAGAGGAGTTAGCACTTTATGATGTAGCCAAGCCTGAATGGAATTTCATTGGACAGAATAGAAATAACTACAACCTGGTTATTTTCTTTATATGAAGCATCAGAAGCTTGCTATAACTGATGCAGGTGTTGGACAGCTTTCCAAAGTAGGTCTTCAGGAGCTTTTCTCTTGAGTTTGTTTTTTAACAATAATAAAAAAAGGTGCTTGGAAGGCCAGGAACAGGGATCATCTCAGCTTTCCTTCTAAGATGTTCATTGGAGAAGTCCAGTAACTCAGAGTTGTTGGAGGAGTCTGGTAACTTAGAGCTGAAGAACACATCTGTGTGTGGTTCTGCAGGCCTGTGTCCCTGCTCTGAAATGACTGGTCAGGGGCCAGCTCTCATTGTAGGCACATGAATTCTGGCTGACACCTGGCTGGCTCACAGGCCTGGTTCTAGGAATGCCCTGTCACCTCGTGGCACAGCCAGCTGCTCAAAGGCTGCAGCCCCTACACTCACCTGGTTTGCAAAGTGAGTTTTAAAAACTATCTAGTATACACCACACAAGTGGTTAGATTATGCTGATCTGGAAAAAAAAAGGGGAAAAAACAACACTAAAAAAATCCAGAATGTAGTGCTTACCATTTATTTACTGTTACTTGTTTGCATTCTCTTCTCCCAATATCTTTCCGGGTAGAATTGAGACATTTAGTGCATTTTTATGGTGTGGCCATTGGCATCCAAATCAGTAGCTGATTTTTCTCGTGTGCCATTACATCATGAGGGGGAATTTTATCTTTCCATCTTTAAAAGAAACTCAGCTTTGCAGCAGACCTCTTGGCAAATGTTGTGTCTGCTACTTTTTCAACCCTTTAGATTGTAAGGCTGGTTTTAAAACAGATAATCTACTTGGCCATTGCAAGGTCATCTTAAAATAAGAGTGTGTGATATCTTCAAACGCCTGTGATTACAAGAACATGATCTTGGCTGACAGAGCTGTCAGTCAGCAATATAATATATTGAGCCTCTGCATTTGTTTACATTTTTGATGAATTACAGCTTTTAAAATCAAACAAAACCCCCCTACAAACTATTAGATTACAGAGTTTTTGACCTGCCTCAAGATTTTCACTTTTTTCTTTTAGCACTTCTGTCACTGCTCTCCTTGGAAAACAATAAGAATATACTTGTATTTTATACTCTAAATTTCATTAGCTTTTGCCTTTTTTTTTTTTCCCTTCACAGGTTAATTGCATTTCTCTTGCGGTGCAGCTGTTAATCCACCAGAACATTTTGTTTTGTTTGTGTGTTTTGTTCAAAAAGTCTTTGAACAAGCTCTTGGCAGGAAGCATTACTGCCTTAAAATCCATCAAAGTGGTTCCTGGTGTTGTGCAATGCCCTGTGATACTTGAGAGCTAGTGACAAGGCTATTTGAACTCTGAACAGCCTTTGAGAACGTATTCATCTCCCTTTCCTTTCTTGCAGCCATTGTCAGGCATTATTTGCATACAGAATGAAAAGCCTCTTAAAGTTTTTTTTTGAAGGTGTTGTTGAACATTTGTTTTAGAACTCTTAGTTTTGACAGAAGAAATGCATAGTTTGTCTAAATGGGACAGGATGACAACATGCATTTCTACTTAAATTCCTCCTATCAAAACTAGTAAAACCAGTCATAAATTCAAATCCCAGTTTCAAGGGAGTGTTTCTTGGCTGAAGGATTTCTTCAGTGTCCATCCAGTATAGCTTTATTTCTCATTTCACACGACATCAGGAAGAAGAAACAACAAAAGAGCTTATTTTTTTTTTTCCTCAATCTTCAGAACAGAATGCTGCTTTGCTTTCTGCGTGAGCAGATGCTTTCCTCTTGGATCTTAACTTGTGATGGGGCAAGTGGAAAAGCAGCTGCAGTTAACTGTCCACATGTGCTGGTGGGGAAGGAGGCTGGCCTGGCTGGATGGAGAGCCTTGGCTGCAACTCAGGGGAAAAAATGGAATGTTTATTGCCTTTAGAAGAAGGGGCAGGCAGCTCAGGAGGACCACAAGGGTGTCGTGAGGTTATGCACGGAGAAAATCAGAAGGGCTAAAGCCCAACTAGAACTTAATCTGGCTGCTACATTAGAAGTAATCCAAGGGGAAATCATTAGCGACCTGCCACACCACTTAGATGCACACAGGTCTATGGGGGCAGATGGGATCCACCCAGGGGTGCTGGGGGAGCTGGTGGGAGTGCTTACCAAGCCACTCTTAGTCATTTACCAGCAGTCCTGGCTAACCAGGGAGGTTCCAGCTGACTGGAGGTTAGCAGATGTGACACCCACCTCCAAGAAGGGCTGGAAGGAGGACACAGATAGATGTGGTGCTCAGTGACTTGGTTCAGTGGTGGCTTGGCAGTTTTGGGTTTACTGTTGGACTTGGATGATCTTGAAGGTCTGTTCCAACCTAAACAATACTATGGTTCTATCATCAGTAAAGATTTCTGCTCCTAGCCAACACTCAGCTTCTTGCAGCAATGGGATGTGCAAGAGGAGACCTAAGTTTTAGCCAAAGACCAGAGGTCACACTGTGTTAACTTGCAACTGTGATCTGCCTTTCTAGACAACAGTCATGCTGTTCATGCCACTCAGTATTGTAGGAAGCACAACTTCACTGCTAAACCAGAGAAGAAGAAAAAAGGACTCTGCCCCAAACCTAGCTTCCTACACTTCAAGGAGGTGTAGTGTCTTTAACACTTCAAAAGCATATTCTCTCTGAAACATTTGTTTAAAAGCTTATTGTAAATGACATTGTAATTGTTTCTGTTAAAAAAGGATGAAAAACTCCTCTTCTTGTCTAGCCTCATTTGTTAATTCAGCAAGTCACTGAATCATTCTGTCTGTTACAGAATCCTGCAAGGTTCACTTAAAATGTAGCACTTTTATTTTTAAACTGCTTTACAGAACTGGTTTTTGACATTTAGGTGCTATTCTGCTGTAAGGGACTCTGAAACTAATAGTTTTAAAATGCAGTAAAAGATGCTGTGTCCATTTAAGTAATTTCCTTCGAACAAATTCTGCACAAAAAGACAATTTTCTTCTGTCTTTTCAGATACTATTTTTGTTTCATCTAAGTACAGGAATTCTAAAGCCAGTTTCTCTTTGGGGGGAAAATAGGTGAAAATATTTTAGATACAATGTATGTGCCCTAGGTGTGTTTCCTAAACATTAACTTCGACTGATCACTTTCTTGAGGTTCTCTGTGATAGCCTTACTCTCTCTTTCTAGGTGGTGATGTACCTCATGAAGTGGAAGATGACAAACCCAAGAAAAGCCAAAAAGATGATGAAGAGCAGATTGCCAAGTACAGAGAACTTTTGCAAAGTATCCAAGAAAAAGAGAAAAAACAGGAAGAAAAGGATATAGGAATGGAGATTAAATGGGTTCCAGGTAAGCTTTATGTTTTTCTTTCACTAACTTGGAGGATGTAAACTATTGGCCTATTAATAGGGATGTAGTGTAAGGTGTTTGATTTATAGGAGTAGAAACTGACCTTTTTTCTTCCATAAATGGAAATCCAGATGGATTACAATGAGGGAAATAGAAGAAATACTATGGCTGAACTGAGTCCCTCAGCTGTAAGCTTCTTTGTAGCTTTTTTTTTTTTCCTTTTTTCATCACTTCATTTATTTTCTTGACTAGAATTCATGTATACACAATAGAGTCATAAAACATACCTATGCTTTTAAAAATGACAACTAGTATGATTTAGTAACATAGCATAAAATTAGGGGAGAATGGTTCAAAGATCTTGCTTGCATAATGCTGAAGATTTAAGGAAACAGAGAAGGGAGAAATCTGACCTTCCAGGAGACTGCTCTGTGGGAAAGAAAGCTACCAGGAAGAGAAGATGGGGGATAGTGACATCTGGAAATCAAAAAAAGATAACTTGACCATATAGAATCCCAGTAGAACTCGTCCTGAGATCGGAACACCTCTGTGTATTTTTTTCCTTTTATGATGAAGAGACATCCAGAGTGGGTTTTATGTTTTGTTCATGGCTATGTGCTTTCCCTGAGGTGTAAGGAGCCTGTTCAACATCTTGCTACATCCACAAAGCGACAGGTCTTCACTGTGGCCTCTCCTCCTTGAGTCTGGCCCAGAGCTCGTTCTCATTGCCTGTACCACTCCTGGCACTTGCTAGATCTCTTTGCAAGCTTAAGAGTGAATCAATTAGTGAATTGCAGTCACTGAAATGACAGAACTACTCTGGAAAAGAAGAAAATCCATGTCTTTCCCTCTGAGTCAGCAAGTCAGATTGGCAAATGGAAGCATTTGTTGAGGGCTCAGAGGGCTGAATTATGAAGTCCAAAGACTAGGGACATGTGGCTATCCCTTTTTGGGGGCAGCAAGGTGCTGCATTGGCTCAGCAGGTGTAGGACTGCTGGCCACATAAGGACACAACCTGATCTGTTACTGTAAACACTGAGACCAGAGATGTGCTAGAATCCAGCCTCCTCACCACTGATGGCTTAAATTCCAGCTAGGAATGCATGTCTAATTATATTATTTACACTAATATTACTCTGAATTCACATGGGTAACTTCTGCAGAATATAAATACTTGCTTTTTAAATCTTGTTCTGGTCTGTACTGATTTACTGAATTTTTTCAGTGAATTGTTTTTATTCTTAGTTCTTGACAAGATCCCTGTTCCAAAGTATGCACTGACATGAAAAAGCATGGTGTGTTTTCAGTAACGCTTATATAATCCACTAATTTCTGGCATGAATTCTCCTCAAACTGTAGAGAAAGCAGGTGTTGTGTGTGACAGGACAAGTGCTTCCTGCCCCAGCTGTATTGTCATGTTTTACTTCGTCTGTCCACAGAGTGTCAGTGTTTGTCTTCCCGATGTTGCTCACTGCGTAGCACTAACTCATTGTATCACTGAGCAGTCAGGGCAAAGGAGTTTTCCTCAATAGGCAGCTATCATAAGATTTTTACAAAGCTTTCTTGTTGCCACCTTTCAGACTGAAGGTGGAAACCACAGTGAAAACAATGTGTTCTGTATTTATATAGCCCAGGCATTGTTTAAACTGTCAGGAAAACTCCCATTTTTTGTGTGAGCTTGTAAAATACATTTGGCTTTTTTTACTTTTGTTATACAGTCACATATAGTGTTATATGTCTGTTATACAGTCTGTCTTCCAAAGAAGTGTGCAAATTCTATGAATGAATTTCTGCAAATTATAAAAGTTGAAGCAATGTGATGTGGGGATGTAGTTAAGAAGCTAGAGCAAAGCATTCACTGGAGAAGATGGAAAATTGTTTTGAGGGAGACAAAAGGAAACTCTTTAGTGTCTCTCACATAGGAAGAGTAAGAAGTTTTCTGAAAGACTGCCTCTTAAAACTGTGCCTTGCATAGTTTATTAGCATATAGGAGCTGCAACAGAGATGGAATCCTGTATTAGCATATAGGAACTGCAGCAGAGATAGAATCCTGTTCCTTAGCAGTGGAACTGGACTTTAGAAAATTAATTTGTTCTCTATTCTATCTATTCCAGTCCTTTCCTTACTGCACCTTCTTGTAGGGTTCCTAGGACCCTTTTTTTATATCCTCATCTCTTTTGAGAGAGGGATGAGGAAAAAAGACCAAACCAAACAAAAAAACCCTATCCTGATAAACATGACTGACTTAGTCTAGAGTCAGTCAGATCTCTGTGCTGGTCAGATCTGCTCATATAAAACACCTGAAAGGGAGATATTAAAATTTTTTTTGTTAAAAAATAGTTTATTTTATGGTGGAGCATAGTCAGCATATGCTGAACAGTAGTTTACAGCTCTGGCAATATATACACAGTTGAGGCTGTGCTTTCTTACAGGAGAGAAGTACATTAGTTATTATGTTATTATTTCTTGAACAAATGTGCTTATTTAAATTCCAAACCAATTTAATTATGTTCAGTTGGAGCATTCTGGGAATTCAAACCCAGTTTTTGTTATCATCTCTAAAGACTCCTTAATTTTTCAGAACTAGTTTATGTCTGGTGAAACATTTTTATTATCAAGCTCTGCCTTAATCTGCCTGGCTCATTGCAAAATCTTTTTCCAAGTGTGTAATATACAGAGAGTTACAGCAGTTAAATTTAGGAAGCTTTTCAATTGAGAGGCAGAGATTTGAATTAATTTTAAAATTTGAGTTTTGGCACAAATATTTACACATGGTTATAGAAAGCATACTTTGTGAATGATTCAGTTATTCTTGAATCATAATCGTTTTAAATAAACCACAGTGCCAGCAAAAATAAATTAGATGTAGTTCCAGCTCTCTTTGGTCTGTTTCTTTTAGGCACAAAATCAGTGTTATATTTAAGCATCCATCTGTTTTATTAATCATATCTGATTTGAGCAACAATTACTGTGCATCCTTATTCAGCTCCCAAAGCTCCCTTTAGAAGGTGAAGAGGAAAAAGACCATAACTGTATTTCTTTATCATATTCAGCCAGTTCTTCACTTAGGTTTTGGGGGTTTTTTTGGTTGTTCTTTTTTTTTTTTGTTTTATTTTTTTGATTGGACTTAAAAATTCTTCCTTTGGGAAGAATGAGATGTGAATATTTAGCTGGGCTTAAAGGTAAACTTTTAAACTTTGTTTTCATCAGAAGTAGTATTGCAGGCAATCATGTCCCTGTAAAGTGCATACTAAACCCCAACTGTCTGTTGTTGGAGCTAATCTGGAGCACGGAAATGCTCATATGGAAGAGATACCCCAGTCTCTGTCTTTGCATGGCGTGTCCTCTGACTGAAGCAGTCTTGCCTCTTGCAGCACGAAGCACTGTGTGCTCAGCTGCTCACAGGCTCAGCACTCCAGCTCCTCTCACTTCACATCTGAGCTGCTTAGTGTGGTGGGGTTTTTCAGGCAGTTATACTATGTTAGGAAAGCTGTCTTTACCTAAAAAGTCTTATCTTTGGGGCGACAAATTCTCATGTTATCAGAATATTTCTTTCTGTCATTCCTTTTAGCTACCTGCAACAAGGTGTTTCTTTTCTCTGGTAAGACACTACATGCAAGATGAACTTCCTCATTCAGATTTTGTGAGAATGAAGAAGTACCTTCTTAGTTTCTGATTATTGTGACAGTTGCATGCTGTTAAACTTCCAAAAACTTTCAAAATTAAGTGTTTAGAGAAGTAAAAATTCTGGCCTGTTCACCCTCCCTCACTCTCCCACCAGCATGGGAAGCAATATACTATTGAATATATTATAGTTGTACTGTCTGTCACACATTTAATCCTTTAGCTCAGGTATGATTCAGTTGTATGCTAATATAGATGACCTTTTTCCCTTCCTTTCTTGGTTTTCATTTGTGAAGTAAATAAAACTAGTGTGATTCATTGATTCTAAAAAAAAAAAAAAAAAAAAATTATGTTGATAAAGGTATAAATTACCCTTTTCTATGAGCAGTTAACAATTCTACCTAAAGCAGACAATTCCTTTCCCCTTCTGCAATCAAAAGCCTTTTGACCACTTAAATACACTCTTCTTCTCGGGAAGTGGTCTGGACAGTAGTTTCTGAGCCATTCTAATCTGTGGAGAAACTCGAATGCCTTTCATGAGCCTGCCAAATACCACAAGAAAGGGCTTGGATTTTCTTCCAAGTCCTTCTCTGCCAGATGGATCAAATGATTCCATTTTCCAGGCAAATAAATCAGAAATCTTGTAACCTCCTTTGAGATTTTTGGTCTCTTTTTCTGGAGTTGTGACATATATTTTTTTAAATCAAGTATTTACTCTCTTTAGAGAGAATCTACAAGGTTGCAACCTGACCAGTAAGTTTTTTTTTTTTCACAAAGGGACTGCAAAATAATATCCAAAGTAATACTATTTCAGTTTCTAGGATGAACCATCCTAGTGGTTTTAGTGAACATATACAATATGCTTCCTGTATCATGAGTGTGCATTTGTTTGCTGGTTTACTACCCAATTTTTGTTGCTGTAACAGTTTGCCATTTAATGTTAATTCTGGCTTCTTTCCAGGATAGTAGAAGGATGTTTTATCTTTTTTTGCTCGACCCTTTTGTTCCTATAAGATGTGTTTTAATATGATTTTTAGATCTTGTCCACACTTCATGTCTCAGACATGTTGTAACCAGCTCTCCAGCCTCTGAATTATTTTTGGAGTGTCAACAAACACAAGAAGAGGACTTGGTGTTTGCAGTTTTTCAGAAGAATGTTCTGCCTGCTTTTCTGAGGACGGGCAGGACTGTCCATGAAAGCTGCCCATTTTTTCCATTATGAACACTGTTCTTGGTTCCTCACTGCTGAGGAGTGCTGGAAGGAATGATGAGGAGTGGGGACTGGCCAGCTGAGAAACCTGGGAGTTGGGAGGAAGAATGGGATCTAGTCTAGGACATCTGGAGAGATCCGAGTAGGATTTCCAAGCAATATAACTGGTATGAGGGATGGGAGAGTGGCAGTTGGTTAGGTGAGGGCTGGGCTGGGCTGGGCTGCTAAGAAGGGAATGCTGAAGAGAGACAATTAGAACAAGTAGAATTGGGGAAGAGTCAGCAAATATTGGACGTGAAGGGGAAAGCAGAAACAAGATTCCTGCATGGTCCCAAAATCTATCCATCAGTCATGTTGTGAAAGAGGATGTTAACTATAGGATACTTGACTCATTTGTTACAGAAGTTAAAAAACAAGTGTAGTGAATGAAACAAGGAATTGCAGGTAGGAGAAAAATATTTGATTTCTCAGGCTGTTACCTCCTGCCAGGGAAGTGGATTCTGTCTTCCTGCCATTGAATTCTGCTCCAGTAAGAGTCAGTGAATATTGGACTTGGAGGGGAAAGCAGAAACAAGATTCTTGCATGGTCCCAAAATCTATCAGTCATGTTGTGAAAGAGGATGTTAACTATAGGATACTTGACTCATTTGTTACAGAAGTTAAAAAACAAGTGTAGTGAATGAAACAAGGAATTGCAGGTAGGAGAAAAATATTTGATTGCTCAGGCTGTTACCTCCTGCTAGGGAAGTGGATTCTGTCTTCCTGCCATTGAATTCTGCTCCAGTGTATTGCAAGGCAAGTCAGTTCATCTCTTTACATCATGACATCTTGGTTTGCAAGCAACAGTCTTGTGAAGAAGGTGTTGGAAGTGTATAAGCTTCATCTGAAATCAGTATTTGTCTTCACAGCATTCAAATACTATGATGTAAAGACTGATGAAAAAAAGCATTCCTGATGGGTATGGAATTTTTCACCAAAAAATGAAGATTGCTTTTCTATAAAGTGCTTATTCTAGATTTAAATATTCGAGCTCTCAAGCAGGGGTGCTTCATTTATTTAATTCTTTTTTAAGGTGATGTTTATACACCATTGAATACTGTAATGCTACATAGTATAGAAAATTCCATTCTGTTTCTAGAATAGTGTTCAATTATGTTTGGTAATTTTGCTGTACATTATTATTTTGTTCAGTAACTTAGCTATATGTTGAGCAGTAACACGAAATATTTGCATAATGTTCATGGTCTATAGGTCAAATGTTAAGATCTTTTGGAAAAGGTAAAATATAGTTGTGATGAGAATCTATCAGAATGCATATTTACAAAGGGTTAGGACATATTTGTACATGTGCCTTCGAGTGGTAGGCATTGAAACAGTGGCAGCCTGGGTGAAATGATGGAATTTAACATAAACCTAATTAACACGTCCAAACTTAACTGTGTAATCCTGATATGCAAGAATCATTTAGAGCCAAATATGTTGCATTTCTATGGGGTTTATTTTTCTAGGATTCTTGGAAAACTGTCATGCTCTGAAAGGAAAGAGGAAATTTCCTTCAGCAAAGTGTGTAGCCACCTTTCCCAGCTGTTGACAGGTCAGGAAATACAAACTTGAGGGCTCCTCTTACAGCGTACCTGTAACAAAAGGATATGCAAGAGGTGCAGATCTGAGATAATGGTCTCATAGTTACAGTTCCTCACTAAATCTGGTGAGAGAGAGTGGTACTCTTCTCCTTTGATCTTTCAGTTCACAATGCTGTTAAGTGCAAAAAGTATTTGGTAAGTTGGTGTGCTAACCAAATAAGAGGATGGTTTATTTCTCTTGATGTTTCTTTTTTTTTTATTCTTGAGTTATTGCAATTTGAACTGGTAATCGGTGACAGAAGAAAACGTATTTTTTGTTTCTTTGAGAGGCAGATATGTTTCAAGAGGTCTACATCCTTAATCACTGCTTCTTGTTAACAAACACTTTTTAAAACAAAACAAAACAACAACAACAAAAATTTTAAAGATTAAATAATTAAATACTTAAACATTGAATCTGAGTCTAGGTTTACTGTCATACCAGGAGTGTACTGTCATACTGTGTGTACTTTCTGAGGAGTAGCAAGAGTTTCTTGGAATCAGAAATCATACAAGCAAACTCTTCTTCTGACTCCTGTACAGTTGATTACTGCAGGAGTGTTTTATTTGGAAAAGCACATCCTGTAAAGTGATCTTATTTGTAACGATGGTGTTTTAAGCAGTATTTATGTTGTTCCCACAGACTTGATAAAGAAAAAACAGATTATTCTTTTACAAAGGACTGTACAATCAGCTGATGTTTAAAAAAAAAAAAAAAAAAAAAAATCAGTTATTCTCATTTCTTCAACTTACTGTTCTTATTCTAGGCCTCAAAGAAACTGCTGAAGAAATGGTCAAAAACAAGTTGGAAGGAAAGGATAACCTAACTCCATGGCAAAAATATCTAGAGAAGAGGAAAGAAAAAAGAATTCTTAAAAAAAAGAGAAAGGTAACGTTTGCATTGGCCATTTGGGGGAGGAGTTGTATGTTTGTTTTCTTAAGTTCCTGTTATTGTTTGTTTTGGATCAACAAAATACAAAACAGTATCCCTTGCAGTACTATTTTCAGGGTAGAACATACAGTGGTCACTCATGTGGAGTGACTGAGAATGCCTGATGGACCTTACAGAGCAAAAGGACGTTCAGGATACTACTGATCATACATATGCATACACAAAATATCTGCCTGTGCTGCTTTAAAGATACATGAGTCATTATAATAACAGCTGGGTTTTAATTTGTTTTTGAATGCATTAGCAAGAGTCGTTTTCCTACTGTATGTATGTCAGTTGAAAGTTGTTATGATAATGATAATTGTAGTTTTGGAAATTTTTGGCCTAAAATAACATAGACTTGTTTCCCAGAGCTGTGATGGCAAAGCATTAATAGCCATGAAGAACTATTCAGATTTCAAATTGCAGGAGCACATTTGGTAAATAGTCCTCAGTGTAGGTAACAAAATGGTTCTATAATAATATGAAAATTGCTGTCGCTTCATTTTTCCCCAAGCAGAATGTAATTGTGAAGTAGCTGCCTCCTGTGGTGGTAATGTGCAGAAATGGGCAGATAAATGAAATGTTTATGCATGTTCTAGGGAAAAAAAAAGCATGTGGCATACTGAATCTAGCTCCCTTAAATTACTCTGAATATAATTAATGCTGCAGTATCAGTAATGTTTTTGAAAGTAATCTCTACAGCTTGAGTTAGGCTGTGCATTCCAGTAGGTTTAACTGGCATTTGGTGAGTGACTTCTTAAAGCTGACAAAAAGAGTGCTGTGAATAGAATAAGTATGTTGAGCAGCTTCTGCTAGTGGAATATTCTTGTTCAGGCTGATAAATAAGTCAAGAGGCAAGGTGTACAACACAATACTTCCAGTAATACCATTTGCTCTTTTAAGTTCAAACTCGCTCTTTTTGAGTTTCAGAGTGCAAAATGAAGCACGTTGCTCAGGTTTTCCCCCAGCAGAGTTTTGGTGGAACAGAAAGTAAGGACCTAATATGCTGTCATCCTGCAATTTGTTGGTGTGGTTAGCTAATGAATCAGAGTTTGTGGGTCCATCTAATAAATATCCTCATAATATGTAGATAATCCTTTCTAAGGTACACAAAAAGCTTTCAATCCATGAAACAGATTTTAAATTATTTGTCTTCACTAGCACTTTTTTAGTGTATTCTAGTTTTATAATGTTCAGTATATAGTATTTTAGTTTTTATCTTCACAGTTACTAACAGGAGGAGCATCTAATTCCAGTGCAACTTAAGTCATAGTTTATATGTTGATTGAAATAAAGTTTGTGCTTTGTTACAGGCTGCTGCTGAGAGAGAACAGAGTGAAGATGAACTTCCATCTGATGTTGATCTCAATGACCCGTATTTTGCTGAAGAACTAGAGAAAACAGGTGGGTCAACACAGGTGGCTTCTAGAATAAATTTGCCCTTTATTTAAATAATGAGCTTTAGAAACAGTCAGGCTAGAGCAAGTGCAGAGATAGCATGTTCAGAACAAAATAAAGATGCTGATCTTGTCCAGCGATGCATATTGTGATATGTAGGGGACATTGTTCTCTTGGCTTTCATCAGAGACCATTATTTAGCCAGTTTCTGGGGATGGCTATTAAAAACAAGCTGACCATTTGCTCCTCTAAAAATTCCAGGTAACAAACTTCATTTCCTTCAAAGCCTGTTTACTTTTATAGAGGAGGAGCCAGATATGTATGGGTCCCTTTGAAGCTTGGGTCAGTTACATACATGTCAAATATATTTGCATCATAAACAAAGTTATCTTTCAGAAGAAATCAATTTTCTTTTCTCTTTCTCGATACAGTTTCTTAATAGCTTAGAAAGCTAAAGTTTGGCTTAGAAAGCCAAACAGCAAAATGTAATATTTTAGGAAACAACTTGTCCAGTTTAGGTTTTTAGGATACCTTTTTAGGATGCATTTTTAGTCTGATGTTTAAGCTAGTTTTTGCTGTGATAATGGCAAATTTATTTCTAGTACGATTTTGCTGGTTAAAAATATTAGGAGAAAGTAAGTAATTACTAAACAAAACCTGTATTTCTTTGTGTCTTAACATGCTTAGGTATATGTCTTAATAGTCTGAAGTACAGAACAGTAGAGTGAGTCCTATCCATGTTTTATGGAAAATACCACAGCTGAGGGTGGCATGCAATGATGTTTTCTGCCATGCTGTCCTGGTCATTTGTGTGTAGGTTATTTCAGGATTCATTGTAAAGATGCCATTCCTTCTACCACCACCTTTTTCTTAACTAGGGAGATTATGTAGGTACTCTTATTCTGATGTTTGCTATTTCAACGTTCTGTGTGAAATCTCTGATAAAAAAATGTTTTCTCCTGTATGGTGTAAGAAGTTCTGTGTGTCACAGAGGGGCTCAGCAGAGAAGGGTTACATCTGCAGAGTCTTAAGCCTTCCTGTCTATAGTTTAGAGGACAGGTTTTTAGTGTGCATGGTGTCTCTGGGGATAGTAAAAAAGACATAAAGGGTAAGAAAGTGAAGCTGTTGTCTGCAAGATTCCTGATAAAGCTACTAAGATAGAGGAGGAAAACAGAACATGGCTAACCCTGGAGAAGTTGTAAAGGGAGAGTACCATGGCTGGCTGCAAGCCAGTTGACATTTTAATCACCACACAGCACAGCTTTGTCTGGCTTTCACCAGGTTTACCCAGAACACACTCTGCCTCATGGCTGAGGTTGTTTCTAAGTGCAGCTTATCCACTTGGGGAAAAAGGGTTGCAGTCTTCTTTGAACTAGGCTCTACCTCTGCCACCTTTGCATTTAGGGTACAGGCAGCAATCACTTGAATGACTTTAATTTTTGATGAGCCTTCCACAATTCCCATGAAAGATTGACATTTCTCCTTTAATCTGACTGTCAGGTGATCTTAGATTGTGCTGAAAAAGCATATGACAGGGTATGTTTGCAGGCTGGGGTGCACCAGTGCAGAAACTGTGCAGTTTGTGCAGTCACCAGTTGGTTGACTAACATGTATGGGTCTTCTCTAAGTTAGCTTTTGACAAGCTGAGATCATTGAAGGGAAGTAAGAGTGTAAGAAGCTGTTGAACAAAGGGTCTAACAAATCTGAATGCTGTGAAAGGAAAACTGGAAATTATGGGAAGACCTCTCAAGCCTGTATTCATTTGGTTTGGTTTGTTCCTGAAAACTGTTTGTAAAGCAGGCAATGATTCTTTCACTGTGGATGCCTCCTCCTGGGAGAGGCAAGGTAGAGCAAATTCTCTCTCCCTGCTGTGCCCAGAGTGTCTGTGCAGGGTCAGGTGTGTGCAAACTGGCATGTCTGAAATTCCTGACAGTGCTTGCTTTGACCAAAGGTTTCATACAGCCATGATCCCTGTGTGACTTTTCAATAGGAGCACAGGCTACTGTGTAAAATGCTGCATGTGTATGAACCCTGATGTTGCATTTCAGAAGCCTGATTCTCATTTGATATTGTCTAGAAAGAAATAATTTTGTCACTTTCAGTTTACATTGCACCTATTGTTTTAAAAAGTGTTGCAAAACTTCCATTTGGCTTGGCCAGTTTCAGTCACTCTGCATCTATTTCCATGAGGTCTCAGTAAAGGTTTGTGTGGGACAGAATGACTTCTGTAGCTTAAACAGTTGGAAGATAATAGCTGAATAGTTTAATCACTTATTAACATAAGACCAATGTCCTGCTTTCAGAGATGACCAAATAGTTTCCAAATGCTTTAGACTATTAAACATAGTTTCTATTGATCTCTCTTTGAGGAAAAGGGCCCATTACACATTATTATAACTCCTATATGTTCCAAACCATTTGATGCCTTCTCATAATCTAATTTATGATACATGTAGGAATTGATGGCTTTTTAATGCTTGAAGGTAGCAGTCTGACTGTGGAGACATCAGAGGTTAACAGCAAAATCTGAGTATATTTGTAGAGCCTGTACTTGGAAGATAAAGGTCTTAGCTGTATCACTGATTCATGTACTGTGTGTCTTTACAGGGCTTTTGAGGCTGACTTTCAAGCTTCTGAGTAAGGCAGATAAGGGTTCTTGTGAGAGGAATCTTTGGTCTGGGGTTGGTCTCTGGATCTGAAGTCTCAGTGTCTCCATCGATGTGCAGAATGAACGTTGCAAACTAAACTTGAGCTGAGAAAGAGCTGAGTGGCACCTTGAGGCAGGATTGCAGCAGAGACAAGAAGCTTTTCTCACTGGCTGGTGGCAGCTCTCACTTCTGCGTAGCAGAACTGTAGTTCAGCCAGTTCTGGGAGGGTACAAAAGATTTCATAGTTGTTCAAGTCTTACCCGAGACATTAATTTCTCCCTTCTACACACTAGCAGAAATGGTGTAGGTTATGGAACAATATTATATCAGAATCTGATTTTCCTGCACGTTTTCTGGACCTACTAAATCAATAGCTCAGTTCTTGAGCTGATGATGTTGCCCATCTGGATAGTTGATTTTTTGGTGGTGGTGTTTTTTTTTTCTTCTGGAAATCCATTTCCAGCTTGGAATCCATTTAGAAGTAGTGAAGAGAATAGTCAAGGGAGAAGAAATGTTATTCAAGAAGTCTGTCCTGTTCCAGAGTATACTTAGAGATATAACTTGACATTTTTCTGGCATGTTTGTATTTCTAGTCTGACTACAAATCTGGCTTAACAAAATGGAGCCAAATATCTTCCTTAAGAATACCCCCAGTGGACTGTAATAAATTGCCTGGGAATGTAATTCCAAGCTCAAAGGTCAGAGTATGTAGTTTGGGTCAGGAAACCTTCTGCTTTTCCTGCTCCTCCTTGATCGAAGTCTACAGGTATTCCAGAGAGAATAATGTGATTTTGTAGGATTTATAAACAGGTCTGTTTTCCTTAAAAGTTATGTCTGATTAGTGTCTTATGCTGTTACTATTCATTATGTCTGTCTAATCAGGACTGTCTATCTAAAGTAAATTCTAAGAGAGTAAAAGATCTTCATCAGGAGAATACTCAGTCTGAACAAAGTCGGTCATATTTTCGTTTCTGTTCAGGTCCTTCTCGCAAGGGATTTTTGCTCTAGCATGGCTAACAGCACAATATGGTCTTCAAGATTTGCATATAAATACTGAAAACTTTTCTTTTTTACTGATAAATTCTTATTCAGCTGGCAGACTTGTATACTGGATGCATACTGGATACAGAGAAGAGAGACAAATTTCCTATTTACTCTAAAGTATTTACTACATTGTCTACTTAAGTAGAAAGAATTAACAGTTTGGGAACTTCAGGATGTTTCAATTACATTTATGAGCATATAAACCAATTTCTCTTTAAAATGCCCTGGGAGTGGAGTAATGTCATATGTTTGCCTGTGTTTGTCTCTACTGCTCTATGAGAAATACAGTAAAACTGTTTTTTCTAATTGTTCTTTTTTATTGACCTGTTTATGACATTGTGAATGTTGCTGCCTTCTTAAATGGAACAAACAGCATTTTTTATTGCTTTAAGTCTAACTGTTTTTTCCTAACTTCTTAGCCTTTTTCCACATCTGACACTCAAGTCAGTAATTACAAGAAAATGCACTTAAATTACAATAAGCGCTTCGAGGTTCTCTTCATAGGTAAATTATGCTCTCATGCACAAGCTTGAATAAATGTCTTCATGTCCTATATTTGCACTTAGATGTAAAGAAGAAGCCAGGATCGGTTGAAAGTACCTCAGAAGATGAAGATGAAGCTGAAAAACAGAAGGTAAAGTGTTTCAAAATGTTAAGAACTGCAGATGCTGCATTGCCTGTATTCTGCAAACATTTGTTAGGCGTTTGAGTACAACTACTGAATTCCATAGGATGGCAATACAATAAAACTGCATAGTTTTTAATTATGAGCAAAAAAATACCCAGAAAGAATGGTAGATGGTCTATGAATGTCTTAAGATTATGCCATAGTAACTGTCTGGAAGAGTACAGCTGAACACAGCTCAGCAGAGTTGGGTAACACTGAAATGTACGGGCACAGCAGCCCGAGTGGTTGTGCTGACAGTCCCTGTAGCTTTAAAGCTGTCCCAGGATGTTTGGGTGGTGGGCAGTGCTGAACGTGTGCTTCCAACATCAGCACTGTGTGAAACATCTCTGTGTTCAAACCTTGGCCTGTAGACTTTTAACCTTGAGGACCAAATTGTTTGCTATTGCATGTTTGCATTACATTCTTTCTCAGAACAATTTCACTACATAAATATATTCAATTCATGTATGTTAAATTTTATTTTAATACACAAATATCAATATGAAATTGCATCCATTTGTGATTTCTAACTTAGTGTATGATTTTCAGATTAGAATATTAGTTTGAAAGTTGAATATGAATATTTGCATTTATTGTATATCTAATAAAAAGGAAATAAACTATTGTATTTAATATTACACCTCAAAATGTTAGAAGAACGTTGTTATGGATGAAGTAATACTGCCCTGACAACCTTATTTCAATGCATTTATGTATATGTAGACTCCTACAGACTTTATAAACAGGATGCTGTATTTTTCATAGGAAATTTAATTTAATTGTGCACATGGACTTTCTTATTTCATAACAGGCTGAAATGGCCCTACTTATGATGGATGATGAAGATGAAGCTAGGAAACATTTTAATTATAAAAAGATAGTGGAACAACAGAATTTGAGCAAGAAGAAAAAGAAACTTTTAATGAAGAAGAAAGAATTAGTAGAAGATGACTTCCAGGTAATGATTTTGAGGCTTGGCTAGAAACTTTGTTAGTATCAATTATGTTCAGGGCAAATTCACTGCTTCTATATCCTTCTCCATCTGAAGGACAAGAGCTAGATCTACATGTTTAGGGAGTTACAGGCTGTTTTCAAAAAGCAAGAAATATTCTGATACAGTGTTGAAGGGAACAGACTCAAACTGTGTGTCAGATAACAAGACGTTGTTTATGTAAGGCCTTGTACAACTCATTGCCTAAAATTACTCATTGGTATGTGTGTTCTGACTGTTATTCACTGCTTCCTGGTCAGTTCTCTGATCAAATCTTTCATAGGTCTGCCAATAGAGGCATATACAGGATTTGCACAAGCATTCACTTGTCTGTTTTACCAGTAGTGTCTTCTGGCTCTCTGGAATTTTGTGACTGGAGCAGTTCCAGGAAGAGTGAACAGTCTCATGAGCTATGAATCCTTAGGCAGCTCATATTTTTTTATATTTAAAAGCTTTGCTATTGTGGAAAAAAGTTACCTAAAATAAATATTCCTTTTCTGCTTCAGGTAAATGTTGCTGATACAAGATTCCAAGCCATGTTTACTTCTCCCCTGTTTAATTTGGATCCTTCAGATCCAAATTTCAAGAAGACAAAAGCAGTAGAAAAGATCTTGGAAGAGAAAGCTCGCCGAAGAGAAGAAAAGGAGCAAGATCTCAAGGAGGCAAGCAAGGGGCAGGAGAACAAGATGGCAAAGAAAGGAGAGGTTGCCAAGAAGACCATAGACCCTGCCTTATCAATGCTAATAAAATCTGTCAAAAATAAAACCGAAGAGTTTCAGGCAAGGAAGAAGCAGAAATTAAAGTAACTGAACTTTGGTTTTACTCAGACTTTACTTTTAGTCTCAGTTCTTCTAACTGGTGACATCTGTTAAAGTTACTACAGGCTGCTTTAATTTCTATCCACCTAAAATTTCCCAAAAAGTCACTTAATTATGGTGGTGAGTTTTGAAGTAGTTAGAGTAATAATTACTCTTTTCCTCTGTCACAACAAATACTGTTTTGTGCTATTACAGAAAAACTACACCTTGAAAACACATAAGTAAGAATTGGTGATTTTGGGGTGGTTTGTGTTGTCTTATGCTGTCTTTTAAAGACAGCAGAAGTGCTGCAGATGGCTACAAGAAGTAGTTGTAATTATCGTTGTATTTATAAACAGGAAAAACACTTCTGCAGGGGTTCATTGCTGAGACTAAGGGGTCTTAATGTTTTTAATTCCACAGAAGTCTGTGAAACATGTCACTGTTGATCAGGAAGGTAGTAATATAACTAAAAATTGAAGAAATTTTGTATACAGGTTTTTTGTATATTTTCAGAAAACTTGCTATGTGTTTCATGAATTTCTCATTTAAATATTTTAAGACTTTCTGGTTAATAGGACTAATTAATGGAAATATTGCCATTTAGGAATGTTTGATTGATATATATTGGAAATAAATGGTTTACATTGACCCGAAGGAATTTTGGGCACTTAGCTGTTTTTTCTGCGCCTATGTGAAATTATGTCACAATTAAAAGTTTTTGCTATCAATATTTTATTCCTGTTAATATAGCTACACTTATGCAAAGTCTTCAAGCATTGCCAGTGTTAAAAAGGAAAAAGGGAAGATGTCAAAGGCAGATCTAGATGATAGAATTTGAGAAACCATGTGAGTGTCAGTGATGAAGACAGCAGTAGTGCAGGGAAAATACGGTAGGTAGAAAATTATCTGGGGGGATAGATTTGTCTGAAGGGCTTTTTTTGTTAGTTTGTTTTTAAGCATTTGCTGTATCAGCTCTAATGGAAATACAACATTGTATCAAAAAAGAATGCGAAGATTAGAAACGAGCCGAAAGATAATTTGTCATTTTAAAGAAGTGTTGTTAATGTTGAAGACATTCTACTCATTTAAAGAAAGAATTCTATTAAACTGGAGGTTATAAAGTGTAGCTAATCAAAACTAGTGTTTAGTGTTTATATGAAGTAAATATTTCTCAGTATGTCAAGGAGATACAGAGTCAGGTTTAACACAAGAGCCTATATACCTACCATGACAGACTATGTATTTGTAAGGATATTTTTCTAAGCATGATTCATTGTATGGCTGGCACGTTGTAGGTATATGAAATGCACTAGGGACAGTGGCTTGGACTGAGTGAGATTTAGAGATTGGATGTAGTAATGTTAGTGGTGATTGAAGGGCAGAAGTTTGTGTGTAAGTGTGTGGAAAATTGGACAGCTGAGAGCAAAAGCAAATGGTCTGAACAGAAATGTAAGTCAAATGAAGGATCCACCTAGCCCAGTGCCTGGTCTCTGATGGTCTCCTGCCCATTAACAGGAGATACTAATGGTGTACTTAAAACATTACACCTTATCCGTGGGGAAGTGGATGAGTTTGTGATTGTTTTAACTGTTTCTTTAGAAATGCAGCTTAGGTAGGGCTGTTGCAGTGACTTACTTTGTAAAAGCACCCTTTCAGGGACAAGAGTTTCATTTTCTTTTTGGTGTTTTTATAACTTCACTGGAAAACAAAGTGAGGCATCAGTGAACCTCCTCCACTCCTCCAGAAGGCCCAGGTATGCCCAGAGGCTCACTCACTGCTACAAAACTCCCCAGCAGGTCCTCTGTACTTCTGCAATGCATCTGTCCTTTACAGTGACTGCAGGAGGACTGATGTGAAGAAAATCACTATGAAGTTAAAAAGTCACAAATAGTGATGACTTTTATCTATCTATCTATCTCCAGATAGTGATCTGTCTACCTACAGATATCAATCTATACTATCTTGAAATTAGGTTGTATAAGTTATATTGTGCCTTTTCTTCACCTGTACACACAATGTCTACTTTCCTTCTTCCAGATAGGAAGCCTAGACCATGCTTTCAAGTCATGGCAAGACAAAATGCACATATTTGACAGTGACTTTAACTACTGGTTGAAAAACATATTTTGCTGTGTGGTGATGTGTATTTGGTATCATGTAAATGCTTAATGTACAATAATTTTATCAAAACAGATGTTCTTTTTTGTTGGTGGTGGTTTTGTTCTCAAGTTGCTGAGTCCTGAGGGGGCATCTTGCTTGGGAAGAACTATAAGATCTGCCCCAGCATGCGTGTTAGGTGGGAAAATTTTGGTCTGTTTATAAAATCATGAGGTGTAAACCATCTCTACTGCCTACCCCCTTCCTACTTTTTTAAAAAATCAAGTTATTAATTACTAATTGCTAATAGCCAACATCTAATCTCCACAATTCCAAAACAGTGCGAATAAAATCTGAATAGATGTCTTTCTGTGTTTTCAGCAAAAGCATATTTTGGAGTCTGGAAAGAAATGGTCACATCTTATCTAGAACTCCTTACAATTTATTGTTAAATAAACAAAGGATCTTTTTGACCATCTCATCCTTTTAAACATGAAGACAGGATCTAGAAGTTCTAACCTCTGCACTTTAAAATATGATTTTATTTTTTCCTTTCACTAAATGTCATGTAACCAGCAGAAGTGACAGCAATTGAGTAAAAGTACACATTAAAAAACCAGAACTGCTAAAAGAGAGACAGAACTAATTTCTCTAGCAACTTATGGAGGTCTGGCATAAAGTAGTTTGTCTCCAAGTTGGCAGCCATCAGAGCTCATTCTAGAATTTAAGCCAGACATTTAAAGATCTAATATTACAAGTGGAAATCACAAGAGGGTTTGGTTTATTTAAAAACTGAGAAAGATCAGACAGCCAGAGACGAAGAGCCACGTATGTTTTCTATTATTATTTTTTTCCTTCTAAAAATTAAATGTATTATTTCCAATTAATAGCAAGTTGGCTTTTTATTCTTTTCATATTTTGGTTGTGTCCAAAAATAACAGTAGGTTGTACCGTCACATACTTTTTTTAGCAGACAAAACAACCAACCAGAATACTATGGGTTTTCTTCAAATAAAGTCTTAGAAACATGTTACATATGTATTTAAAACTATTAGAGTAATTAGGTAGTTCTGCACCTTTCTTAAAGCATGAGTTAAATACCTCAACCTTGGTTTTGTAGCTATGATAAGAACAACAAAAGTAGCAGTTCTGATAGCATGGTAATTTTCATTATTTAATAGAATAGTTTAAAAAGCTGCCACCTCTGTAATGTAAAAATGTACATTTTCTTGCACACGACTGTACAGTAAAAAAAAAAAAAACAGAGCAAGACAAGGTGGCAGAAAGGTCTATTGTCATGTTGTTTGTTTTGGTTTTGGGTTGTTTGGGGCTTTTTTTTTTGTGCTTGACATATGGTGATATAAATGGGAATATATTTGTCTGGGTTCTGGATCCAATCTAGATTAATGTCACTTAAGGTCGTTATTACTTTATGTCCTCCTAATCACTAGCCTATGAGTAATCCCTGCTCAGTACTGTTCCAGCTCTATTTCAGCCATGTGGGACTATGCAAGTTTTAAACAACACTGCTTCAAGCCTCCAGCGAGTGCCCCGGCAAGCCTTGCTCTGTCCCCCTCTCAGAGACACCCCATCCAAAGGCTGGTTGCCACCTTTTCATGGGCAAATGCTCTTGGACCCCATCCCGTGCACTCCTTGGCACTGCACAGATCCCTTGGCTTTGCACTGAAATCCTGCCTGATGCACTTAGACCTTTCTCTTTTTGTATTTCAAGGGCAAGGACAATGGAGGCAGGCAGGGTTTGGTTTGACTTCCCACAGCACGTGTCAGACACAGACATGACAGGTCTGAACAGAGGAACCGCCCGTTGCAGTCAGCAACGTGTGTGGCTGAACCACTGCTCAAGTGGGTTGGCAGCCTGTCCATGGAAAATAGAAGTCTGAACAGAAGTGGTTACCAAGAGGACTAAGAATAGCAAAGTGACTGTTTTAGGATGGCTGTGATTCCTACAGGTGATTAGGAGTTAAAGTCATTTCTGGGGAGTGCAAAACCCCCTAAGCATAAGCTGCTTCCCTTCCTTCTTCCCCCTTAGGTTAATGCCTGGGTGCTCCAAGAGGGAGCTGGTGTGTGAGCAGCCCCAGGAATGAATGCCTTGGGCTTCAGGAGGATTTTGGGGTAGGGCAGGACAGCCTGAGCCAGTGGTCCTTTTCCTCAAAGAGTCCTGCAAAAGTAACAACTGAGCAGCATCAGCGGGGAGAGAGCCTGAGAAGATGTGCAGTGAGTTGGTCTGCAGGGTGTCCTGACAGCTGGAGGTGGGAGACAAGGTCAGTGATTCCCAAAACAGCTGCACGTTGAGCTGCTTTTTTTAATTGGCATGTTTGTCACTTGGTGAATTTTAGAGCTCTGTGTGAGGGAACTACAAATGCCCAGGAACCAAACCCCTGTCAGAGAGAAAATGAAGCATGGTACATGTGAAATCAGCGCTGGCATTTGTTTCAGTTACATAAAGAGACACTTTTCTTTAAGCTGTAGTCTCACCTGACAATGCTGTGAAGTGGAGCAGTCTTCCATTATTCTGTGTTTTGGCATTCAAGTGCTTGACTTTGCCACAAAACAGTTACTTTACAGGTCTTAAATTTGAATTTGTTCTAATTAAATAAACCCCACAACCCTTATGCTCATTGAATCCCAGCTGCCTCACAGATGGATCATCACCTTCTCAATTCAGATGACAGACTGACCAATTAATGTCCTAACTGTTAGCAGTGAACAGCAGCATGCAGGTCATGGTCCTCTCTGGAGTTTACTGAGTCAAAGGGATCCTGCACAAGATGATGGCTACAAAGCCACTTAGAACACTCTTGTATTAATATCAAAACAGGTGTAGCAGAGCAATAGTACTTAAAAGGGATATAAATCTGTCATTGAAGTTATCTGGCTTTCTTAAGAGGCTAAAATTT